TAACCCAGGCTGCGTAACAGATACTAACCAGACCTCTGTGCGTGACCTGAAAACACAATGGCTCACAAATGCTGCTGTAACTACCATTACCCAAGTCTTGGAAAGCAATTTTTATCCAAACCAATTTCATCTATAAGAGCTCTACGGTTCTTCCTGGCAAATAACAGTAAGTTTTCAGTTTCTTTCTATAGCACACCATGACAAGATAACATCTGTGTCTTTAAAAAAAGCACCCTCTGCTTTCTGCAGTAACATGGCAGCAAGTGTCCTGTAATGTAACGACACGTATTTCTTCTGCCTGGGAAAAGAATGCTGTAGTATCAACCCACTCAGGCTCAATTGCCCACAAAAAGGAAGAAAAATTATTCATCGATGGCAATATTCATAGCTGCAATGTGTATCATTGTGCTGCAAAAGAAAGATTATCCACGTTTAAGATTCCGTGACAGCCCTGTGGCTGACCAGGACTGAAAATATGCTGTGTGCACTTATGCACGTACATAAACGTCGCCCGTGGAACTTCGTTTAAGAGAACCGTTCTCACAATTTCTTTCAGGGCACAAAGAGCGCCTGAACCACTGATAGGTTATTGCTTCACTCTTGTAGTGGAAGCCAAACCCCAGATTCAGGGGTTTATGCATGTTTAAAAGAGGTAGGCATGGAAAGATAAGCCAGCAACCTGCTTCTGCCAAGCAGGAAGCTCTGCAGAGCAATGCAATGGGAAATGCGAGACCCAGTGCTGTACCTGAGCTCCCCACCTTTCACTAGTACTTCAGGGCCAGCAGCGAGGTTGCAGGAAGCATCTTGATCCACTTGCAGTGCAGAACCCATGGATTTCTTCTCCACAGAAGCTTCTACAAAGTTCAGTGACAGCTTTGAGGGGGCTCACAGTTTGCAAAAGGCGAGTCACAGGGAGTGAGGACACGTCTCAGGATGCAAGAGAGCAGGAATCAACTCCCTCCTAACCCTGAGGAGATTCAAAACTACAACTCCTGCTTCTTTGCAGGATGCCCTCACACTAGTCCACGTATTACTGTGGATAAGAGCAGAAAGGCTTGATGCATTTGCCACCACTTCTGATGGAACTGAGACATTGTCAAGAAAAGAATGGAAGGTTGATACAGTCAGAAGCAGAACGTGGAGGAGGAGGACGTGCAAAAGGGGAGGTTCTCCTTCCAGCTGTGGGTCATATTTATCTGGGTCCCGTCAGAAGTAAAATGCATCAACAAGAGTGAAGATGAAACCCCTGGACTTCTCTATACTGATGCAAACAAAGCTGAAAATTCTGTCTTTATAGGCTCTGAAGGGATTATAGGCAAGCAAATACGGGCCTTGCCTCTGCTCCTTAGAACTACAGGAACTGACAACAGCAAAAATGCTTAATACATATTATTGTGATGATAGTCCAAAACCATTAGGAGTGCAAAGTCTAGTACTGTCTGTGGCTATTACAGATTTGCATTGTTTATTGATCAGTTTTAATAAAGATATTTTCAAAATTACTGCAGATAATTTCATTAACAGGATAATGATGTCTTTAAAAGAGGATATGCTTTTATTTTGGCAACAAGAAAAATCCTTTCTTTCTTATTGTAGTCACTTCCAATAGTTCTTTTTCATCTCAAAGCGTGGGAGAAAATCCCCAATGTATTCTGAAGTCCAAGATTAAAATCACTTCTCACAAAGGCTAATTCTGCCTTAGCTTCCAGGTTTCTTTTGAAAATGCCTTTCAAGAAGTAATTTTCACTGTAAATAGGTCCATTTTTATAGGACACTTGGTTCCTTTCAGTTTGCAAAAGATTCTTATTTGGTATACAAAGCTTAATCTAAAATGCTTATTTCAAAATGGAAGACAGTCCATCAAAGGCATCCGTCTATCTTGTAACATTTAGAAAATTTTTTACTTGAAGACGTTATTGACCATTGTCAAAAGGTGCAGAGCACAAAAGAAATGCCAAGGTGGCAACAGAATATCACATCAGCCCTGCATGAACAGATACAACTGATAAAATGATTAGATGGTGCTAGGGAAAATTTCATTTCCTGAGCAAAATTATGTTATGATAGTTGAAATAAATGAAATAATTTCAATAAGGCAAATTAGTTATCTTACCTTCTGCAGCAGTAAAAAGGGACAGGCTCATTTGAACGTTTTTCTGCAGCCACATGAAAGAAACCTACATGCACTGACTCCTTTCTCTCATGAAATACACGACCCACAAACCTCTCCGTCCTTTTTTTTTTTTTTTTTTAATTTGTGTTTGCTGCATGGCTGGCCACATCCACCTTTGTCATGTCTACAATAGTGATTTCCTTCCTACTACGACTGAAGGAAGTCTCTCTTGGATTCAGAGCAATGCAACACACACTGACAAGGGCATTAGGAAAAAGAGTAGGGGGGGTTGAAAAGGAGGCCTGAGGTAGATACACACACCAAGTGCTCACCTTTTTTATTCAACATACACACCCCAAGTGCTCACCTTTTTTATTCAACAACTGCAGAACTGGGTTAAATTCATAAATTGTATTCTACTGAGCAGAAAGAGACAGACAGACAATGTAAAGGTGCATGAGGATGGACAGCCAGATGGTATAGGGAACTGAAGGTTTAAACAAGTACAGTAAAATTGGGTCAAACCCTACTGAGGCAAACTCTCTGAATGAGAGCTATGCCCAAATAAAAATGACCGGTCTGGCTCACTCAAGTCAGCAAAAGCTCCACTTACCCACAGAAAGTAAGGACCACATCTTCTAACCCAGAGCAGAGCACAAGATTTTTACTACCATTAACTACACTGAATTGACAACACTGATATTTTGGGAAAATGCAACATAATATACTTCTGGTGAATTTTTTTTTTTTTTCAAAAAGTTCCTTCTGTTCATCAACAAACTCTACTGTGAGTTCCAGTTTCAGACCTGGACATAAACAAGAAGCTTCCAGCAGAGTGCATTAATGACTCGGCACATCATTTCTCTCCATAGTTCCCTTACAAACCTACACTTTTAGGATTTATACAGGCTATCTGCTCTGAAAAATGAAGAGCTGAATCAAAATCTTGTCATGGAAAAATCTCTTTTGACTAACATTAAAGGAAATGATTTGAATGTTTTAGAAAACTGTGGCATTGTGTAAATCATCAAAACGTCTCCCAAACACTGACCTTTCAGTCCTTGCAACCACCCCTGTGGGGCAGGTAAGTAAGTGCTATTATATTAACTCAATTCTACATGCAAGGAAAGAGAAAAACAAGGATGTTAAGTGACTTGCTGAGTCATATGCACAGCTAGGAACAGCACAGTCTGGTAGTTCATAATAACCTCGAGTTGTATAGGGTTTTGCCACCTTTTTGTGTTAATACAACTAGCAAAATGGTTTCCATTTGCTTAGGGGGCAATCTACAACCTCCTGTCAATTAATCAATAAGAGTGCTTTATAAAATCCTAAAATACATGTAAATAATACTGCTCATAGAAACAGTAGGCAAAGCTAATCCTCAACTAAGGATGTATGATGTAAGAACCTCGACATTGGCCTGAAACAGAAGCAGCAGCCCTTTATTGTGATGTGACCCCCCCCAAAAAAGCATATGCTGAACTAGTCAAGCGAACCACATATTAAAAAATAGGGGCAAAACCCTGGTAACAATTCTAAAAGGCTTTGCTAATGCCCTACTGACTTCCTTTTCAGTTAGTTTTGATTGCAATTACCTCTGGGTGATGAGTCCAGGAACTGTTGTATTATTTTTTTAATCAAACAATGTGCAAATGTTTTTTAAAAAGAGCAAGAATCAATTAATCAAATTTTTTTTTCTACTGGTTACTAACTGCATCCAGCAGGTATTTCCAGTACAGTGGACTGACACATGTTGTTGTTAACACAGCCTGTAATTGCATTATCTCAAAAATGACCGCAGGATGGAACATGCCTTATTGCAGTGTCCTGATAAACTGAGAGTCAGGCTATGTTAGCACATGAAATAGAAACCGCCCACTTGCAAAATTAGTAGAGGCTCTGTGTTAAAATACCAACAAAGTTTGTTCAGCAAATGATAAGAAATTATTTTCATGCACTTATTTAACAAAAAGAAAGAAAAAACGCTATAAGAAAATCCAAGAAGTAAATAAATGGACACATAAAAACGCTCTTGACATGGCAGAGTTAAACTGACAGTCCCCTAGAGATTCTGAACCCAAATCCTTCCCTCGTATCCACGTGGTGTGGGTCAGTTTTAAGATATTGCTGCCTCCCTGTACTGATGGCCTTGATGCAGCAGTCGTCTTCTGTTGAACAAAGCACTGACACATGCTTACCATTGCGACAACTTCATTGGATTTAGGCTTCTGCTTAAAATTAAGCCAACACTTAAGTTCTTGGCTGGAGTGGATTTTAGCAAGAGGAAAATTTAGTGATCGTGGGCTCTTGAAATTGAACATTCGTTGTGCAGGACAGAGTAGAAATTTGCTTTGTGAGACTAGAATTTGCCTCCTGTGCTCTGTGTACAGAATCCCCAATACACGTAGGCATTGCAGCATGAATTACAGGTCAAAGACCAAAGAAATGATCCAACTCTGAATCTCCTTGCTTTCATGTATTTAAGAATTCAAAAACAAAGCTAATGATAATTAAAAAAAGCAGCCAAACAAATCCAAAGAAAATAAAGATGACCCATACTGAATCACAGTTTTGATAACCACATTGGGACAGCAGACATTTCGGGTCATATTGCATGTAACAGATAAGAAGGTAAGTAACACCATCTTTTTTTCTTTAATATGGATGTATTTAACATATCCTGTCAGTTACCTCTGTGCATATGTGTCTACCTCATCCACACACTGCAGTCTGTTTGCAGATGGGGAGTTACTGCTGGGGAATGCCTTATCTTTTCACATGAAGCTGCAGAGAGTATCTCCATTTTCTGATTCCCCCATCCTTTAGATTCAAGTCTCATCCCTCTGCTGACAGCTGTGCACTGCAATGTCCGGGAGACCCTTACCTTCCTCCAGAGCTCCAGTCTGCTCGGAAGCTGGCGACGGAGGCGGGGAAGGAGGCAGGTTGGCTGACTCTTCGACTGCTAGAAATCAAACAGTGAAAATCATATACAGCAATTAATTCCCAGGAGAACGACGCTTGACACAAGCTGCAGTCAGCCTGTTCTGCCCAGCTGAGAGAATTATTCAATGGGAATTGTGCCTAGTGGGTTTTCAGATAGACCCTTTCAGAATACATGGATTTTTAAAGTTATAATAAAAGGATTTCTTTTTTAGGTGGTATGAATTATTTTCAAAATTCTGGTCATAGAGTACAATACAAAAATCAAGTATGAAATGATCTTTTAACCAGTATTGCCACTTAGAAAACCTTCAGTCACCCAAGGCAACAACAATAAAGCATCTGAGCATGAGAGATTTTATAAATTCACACTAACTATCAGAAACTGGCATCCAATCTCTTCAATTTACCTTGAATACATGAACAAAAAACATTGTGTGCTTTTTTTTTTTCTTCTACTGAGTTCAAGGTTGATCACAGAATACATGCAAACATTGCTTGTCTAAATACAAAAGACATCAGCGTAGGGAACTTATGTCAGCCATGACATATTAGTGATTCAGCTGAGCAAGGCGCAGTGAATCTTAGATGCACTTAGACTAGGTTTTAGATTAATTCCCGGTCACAAAACTAGATGCTGAAAACAGATGATGGTTTTTCAATTATTTCAACTCAAGTATGATGAAATCCCAAACAAACTGCTTCTTAAATGAACTCAGCATAACCTCTGCGTCTGATTTCATACTGATCACTTTGAGAAATTTTTTCTTTAAGGACAGCTCCACTACCAGGGCTTAAACAATTTTAAAACAAAACAAAACAAAAAACCCCCTACAAAACCAAAACAAAACCCTAAGAAATCTGTTTTAACAGATCTGTCTTATAAATGTCACCTCTCAACAGGCAGATCTCAGTTTCTGATTCAGGGCTTTTTCCTGAGCATAGAAGGGCCAGTTTCAAAGCCCCAGCAGATTTTGCCAAGCCTCCTCCTACTGATTTCCATGTGGTTTGGAAGAGACCCTTATGTGACTTGTCATTAAGATGTGCTGTCCACGGACAGGGTATTTATATCTTCAGCACAATGTAATTTTACCTGCACCTGTTGAACACTCGCTGACTACAGGAACTGTAACGCCGACCGTTGCTCACTAAAAACATACTTCTTGCAGTACTTTTAAAATGTCTTATCCAACTAGATGGAACTGAATATCCATTTTGCCTCACCCAGGCCCCAGGGAAACAATCTGTGCTTAAATATGTATGAAGTGTTTTGCAGAACTGCGGTCTTTCATGTAAAATTGAGCCTCTCTAAAGAAGGGAATTACCAAGCAACACATCTCCCTGCTGCAGTTCAAAATAAGTTCAACGAAGCAAAAGACCTTGGGAATCAAATTTCCAACAAATATTCTCAATTACTCATTGACTTTAATTCATTCCAAAGCAGGGTCCAGCCACTGTACCGAAAAAAGCAGAGCGCCTGTAGGGGAAAATACCACAAGGCATGATTTTGATTTGATCACAATGTACATGTGCTGAGCAGAACTTATCCCAGGGCAGGCTTGCAAGACTTGCCCTACCTCAGGACAGAGTACGGCCTTTCTCTGGCCTTTGGTGTACGTGTTTCCATCTCCTGTGGAAGTGTTCTGGTGGGAAGGAAGCACTGTAGGTACCAGTGGCTGTATACTTACCTTTTATATACACAGCTGTAACTTTTTTGTAATATACACACAAAACATTTGCAGACACAAGGATACTTTGAACATTCTTCGTCTCATTTTACCTAAAGGTAGTGGTCCAGGCTGATCTTTGTGCTGGGCTTCTTTTTCCTGTTCGCCTTTCAGGACTGCTACAGCTTCAGCTGTTACTACTTCTACTATCCTCGCAGACACTTCTTCTGTGGCAGCAGCAAAGTTAGAAAAAACAAAGAAAAGTATACTAATGAGAACAATGTTTTAAAATGATGAAGATTAGCTTAATAAAAAATGGAGGCTGACAATCCATTTTTAGAAGGTAATCTTTCGTTCTGAAATACAACCAAATCGTTAAATATAAAATAGAAGGGCCAGATATGCCAAAGATCTCCGTGGAAAATGCTGAGTATTTAGAAAAAAAAAGGGCCCCAGCCTTTACAGTAAGATGCACAAAGCATCATTATTAACTGCTCGCTCTTAGTTCTGTTAGGGACAATGCACAGCAACTGCAAAATTTTAAGATAATCATTTATTAAATGTCTAGAAATTTTTTTTTGCAGGTACTGCTTTGCAAACAGGTAGAATGGCCAGCTGAGTAATGGGATTTCTTGACATTTAATATATGGAGTTAGCTGCATTCTTACATGCACTTTGGATGATAATTCCTCCTCATCCGCACACAGTTAGTATGCATTAAAGGCATTTCCCAGACAGACATCTAAGGATATGCATACGAGAGACTTGAAACAGAAGGGCCAAATACCATTTCCGTACAACTAAAATGTATACTTTGGCCTCCTCACCCCTTTCAAGACTGCAACACAAAGCTTTATTTAAGCAAAACAGTAGGTCTGAATACCGTGCAGCGGGTTGGCAGAAGATGACATTTGTTTGGTGCGATGAGCTGTCAGGCCCTGATCTCAGACACAGGCTCGGCTCCCGGCCGCTCGCTCTCACCATGCTCGGCACAGGGAAGGGGGACACGCGCGGAGCTGGCTGAGGCATTGCATGCTTGACAGCCGAGTGTCCTGGGACCCATGCTTCGCTCTTCCCCACCGTCTCTCAATGTCGGAGAGGGGCTGAGGAACCGAGTGCTCTGGTGATCAGAGGATGGCAGTGGGACCACACGGAGTAAGTACTTCCAAAACTGAGAAATGTTATCTCATCTTGGCTCTAGACCCACTCAAATATGCAGTGAAATGCCATCAGGCACACAACTGCATGTGGAAGTAACCAGAGAGGCTTCCTGCCCTAAGGGCACTTCAGGCACCTTTGATCAAGCAAACCAAGGCCTTAAGGGTTGGTCCAGCAGAACCATCTACAAAGGAATTTGGAGAGACAGGTTCCGTTTTCTCAGCTGTGTATTAGCCCACTCTCCCTTACTCATTAATCAACATATTCCTTCCTCTCATAGCCAAACTCAGTGGAAGTAAGCCCATTCACTCTCCAGCTACTTCTGAGCGCTGGCTGAGAGTTGTTTCAAATGCAGGGCATGGGGACCCGACACGGAGCCGAGCCGTAGGGAGGCACCAAAGCTGCACGGCCATGGGCCCACCAGCTCCACAGCTGGGCACGCACCTGAGAGCAGAGCGAGAATATCAGTGCTGCTCCACCCCTCGCGCGTAGACAGAGGTTTGTTACGGCAGACGGCAATACACCCTGCTCCTGCCAGGAGACATTGGCAGAGCCCCCATTAATCACCATCCCAAGGGCAGGAATAAAAGCTCTCTGCTCGCCCATTACCGTGTCCTTCAGGCAAAGACTGCCTGGGAAGGAGAAGTGTATTTAAATCAATGCCCTACATGTGACTTTACAGCGACCACCCTTACAAGGGAGGCTGTCCATTAGATTAATAATGATGATTTCTTCTCACTGTTAGTACTCTGATGGAATTCCTTTGTATTTTTAATGTAAAGTTATTCCTCTTCATTTGTCCTTTAGAAAAGCTGATTTTTTTCTCCCAAAAGGCACATATGTGAGTTACTTTCACAGTCATGTTTGTCTAAAAGCACTACGTTAATCTCTCTTTTGCACAAACTATGTAATGAGAGATTAAAAAAATCCCACCCACTGGCAAAGAACATTTATAATTGTTGGTATTTATATCTTACAATTCACTTCCCTCCCGACTGGTCGCCAGGAGGGTGGTGACTACAGTAGTTTTATTGGCTGCAACCAATAGCAAGAGTAGATGGATGAGTATGTCAGAACTACCACCAAGCAATGACAAAAATAAGCTGATTTAAAAAACTGTTAGCCCAAGAATACATGAGTATAAACTTGCCAAGGATAAATTCAGACTAGAAATCTGAAGACTGAAGTTCTGGCAGTCTTCCACATAGCAGGAAACAACTCAACTGGTTTTGAGACGGAGCTGGATACATTTACGAAAGGGACTACATATGATATAGATGCCTGTATTAGCAGGACACTGTGTATGGCAGCTCTAGTTCTCTGTCCCTCTATTCAACAATACGCCCCTAGAATGAGATGAAACTACACTTCGTTGCTAAGCAGATGGAATCGAGCACCATAACCCCATAAATCAAGTCATGCATGAGGCTAGTCCTATGGACCAAAGAATGAGGATATTGATGTAAAGCCCATCAGTCTTCCCAGCTGCCTTCCCTGCACTTCATTTTGGGGTTTTTCGAATTTCTCCTGCGTGTTGGATGCTGGGGGTGCTTCTCAGCACCTCTTGGTTCCTTCCTCTTGTGAGAAACATGGCACAGGTACCTCTCAGACTGTCACATGGTGTTGCTGTTGCAGAGCAGTGGACTGGACACAAACAGTCCCTCGGAACCATTACAGGTCCTGACCACTCCCTGTGTTGTGAGGCACACGCAGGCTGCGAAGCATAAGTGACGCCAGAGAAAACTGGGAGATGAACCTGTGCGCCTTGGCCCATCCTCTTCCTGCTGCAGCACCTTGCATGGGTGGGATGTGCGGGTAAGAAACAAACTGCTCCTCCATAAAGTGTCCTTTGATACTCGCTATATCCCTGTTCAGATTCTGCTCTTTCAGAACGGGAAATATTTTCCACATGAAATTTTAAGAAAAAGCTCCAATTAATTTTTCAGATATAGAATATGCAAATGTATACCACATTTAGTACCCTGGAGCATATCCAAAGGAAACCCACTTGGTCACCTGCTCTCCATCACTCAAGCTACTGCAAGCCTCCTCCCGGCAAGGTAACACAAATCCCTATTCAAAACAGCCTCCTTTATTACAGAATTTATACTTGTTCGCACTTGGTTCTGGCATGCAAATGGGCTCTCCAAGGCTGGAGGCCTTCTTGGCTCTCTTCCTGATTTAATCTGCTTGGGACAAAGATTATCTTCCACGGAGAGATATGCCTAGGGGTGAAAGGTGGCCTCCCAAAAACTGGAAATTTCAATTTCAAGCTATGCAAAATGAGTAAATAAAAATACAAATGGCCTCTGGGTTTTGGATTTGGGTTTTTGTTTGGTTGGGCTTTTTTAATCAAGAAAGACTCACTTCTGAACACTCTGTTGATGGATATTTTGGGTGACACAGGAGGCACAGGCAGTTCGCCAGAAGAGCAGTGCTTTTGCTATACATGACTGCTGTGAAAGGACAGACATTTTTGTACTAATGGACACTATAAATAGCAGATCCAATGGGTAAGTCAAATCCTCACAGGGCAGCTATTGAGACTCTTCATAGTTTCCTTATGGTTCAGTTAAAGTTCAAGGAAGCCTAATGATAAAGAAAAAGAAAAAGGAGAGTTAACCAGCCTGGATGCCAGGCAAATTCTTCACAGCCTAAAAGCTCTGGGTTCATTAGAGATCGTTTTGCTTGTAGAGATTTATTTTCCCTCTCTTTAAGCACACGGACATTCTCTGACTCTACTTTGTGCCACAAAAACGGCACTAAGAAACGACAAGTAACACCAAATATATGTTTCTTAAAGGCAACAGCAATCTTAGCTTCACATGAGACTCCAGCACAATGAAGAACGGCAACGTGGCTTTCCTTTGCATTTTGCGGAGAGCAAAATGCTATTCCTTTTCACCAAGATGTCAGCTGCTCATGATACAGGACACAGGCTGAGTCTCCCAGTCTGATTTCAGGGAATGCAGTACCCAAAAGTACAGGTAGTCCTCGAATGTGATGTCCCATAATGGAGAGGAGACATTGTGAAAGATCCTCAGTAGGAGCTTTCAAAAGCCCCCTGACAATGAGCAGGCTGAGCCAAGAGGCCAGGAGCTAACACAGAGGGACGAGGATTCTACTGCTCCCTTAAAGGTTGTCACTTCAGACCAAGCTCCAATGGGGCCGTCACGTCAAGTCTGCCCAGTTGCTACTAGTGCCGTGGCTGCTCTCTGGCAGGAACGGGACTGTCCTGCTGAGAGGGCAGCCGTCTGAATTGGGCACTACACTAATTTAAACCAAAGTTAAAACTCAAACCAGTAAGTACTCGCTGCTCCCGGTCTCGGAAGCCAGCCCAGTTCTTCTACAGAGTGTGACAAACCCCAGTCTCCAGCATGCCAGATCAGGACATCTGGAGTCTCCCTGCCCCACACATAACTCAGGGGCACAAACAGGAGATGCTGAACCAGCTGCTGATGGTATGGGGAGCCACAGTCTGTCTTCTCTGCTGGATTTAAGTGGCCTCCTGCCTCCAAAAGCTGCTGCCCTGCTCATAAGCATACCCAAGGGCACAACAGCTGCCCAGTCCGCACCCCAGCTTGCTCTGGCATCAACATTTAAACTGCAGTAGGTGTCATCTGGACACCTGAGACAGACCCCTTCACTGATGGATACTCACCCAGGAGCCATTAAGCAAGGTTACATGCCAGAGCATGGCTACAGCTGAGCCAAATATCTGGGATCATACCCTGTGGAAGGTCAAGGTGTTGTGCCAAAGCCCTCCTTCATTTCTTATTGATGCTGCTGCAGTTGTCAATGGACTGCAGATGTCTCCACTGGCACCTAAATCCATTACCTACAGTACTTCGATTTCCCAGGAAACCTTTCCAGTCCATTAAGTTTTTCAAGCAGACAGGTTTACCAGCCCCAGAGACAGATGTAGAGATGATACCAAGAGTCTTTAAAAAAAAAGGTGTCTGAGCTTTCACCAAGTATTTCCAGAAAATTGTTAGAAATAATTGGCAACTATAAAGGCAAGAGCAAAAATTAGATCTGTGACACATCTCCACAGCGGCGCCTGGTGTCC